TTGTAGCTTCCACCCCCATTGTTGTATCATTTGCAATTTTGACCAGCAGACTTCTCACCCCCTTCTCCAGGTCATTGATACACAGATTGAACAGGGTGAGTTCCAGGAAAGAGCCCTGGGGGACCCTGCTGCCCCATCTCAATGATTCCCCACTAATAGTAACCCTTCTGCTTTCTGTCCATCCGCCATGCTCTAATCCATCAGACAGTGCATTGGTCTATCCCAGATTTCCTCAGTTTCACAACCAGGATATCATGCAACATTTTGTCAAAGGCCTTGCTGAAATCCTGGAAACCACATCCACCATGTCCCCTCCATCTAATCACTTCAAGACCTTGTCAAAGAATTCCACAAGGTTTCTCTGGCAGGGCCTGTTTTTGCAGAAGCCATGTTGCATGGCCACCATCCCCTTCCCTGTCTAGGGATCCCAGAGCATTCCCTATTATTTATTTATTTATTTATTTATTTATTAAAACATTTTTATGCTGCCCCATTCGCCGAAGCCTCGGGGCGGCTTACAACAATAAATTAAAACCACAGAAATTAAAATATACATATTAGAATAATAATAATAATATATATGTACATGTATGTATGTATATATGTATGTGTGTGTGTGTGTGTGTGTGTGTGTATATATATATGTATGTATATATGTATATATACACACACAATATAAAATAATATGAGCCTTTCCGTTGTCTTCCCAACAGTGGACATAAGGCTAACCAGCCTGTAGTTCCCCATGTCCCTTCTACTACCCTTTTTTGAAAATTGGGACCACTGATGCCACCCTCCATTCCTCTGGAACCTCACCTGTTCTCAACGAGGCCTCAAGAATGACCGTGAGAGAACCCCAGGTGATTCCCTAAGTACCCTCGGGTGTATCCAATCATGGTGTGGTGACTCTGTAACGTCCAATGCCCTGAGGAACATCTTGACTTCTGGGGGGAGTACTCTAATCTGTGCTCCTAAATCCATGGCTTAATCCGATCCCCCATAGAATCTCCCCAATCCTGCTTTGGGGAGAACACAGATGCAAAATACTCATTTAACTTTTACTGCAAGCCCAACGCCTCTTTTTTGGTCCTTCTCCACCAGTTGACATCGCACCAGTTTCACCGTGGAGCTGGGAGTTCTTTCCCCAGTTATGAATCCCTCTATACTTGCTGGCATGTTACCGCTTTGTCCATTTTGAAGTCCATTTCACTAGTGTGGGCAAATCCCCTTAGAGCTCTCCATGATGCCTCTTCATTTTCCCATGGCTGGATCTTCCAGCTTTCCCACTTGCACTTTCACCTCAATATTCCTTCTCTGTATTGCCAGACATTCCCACAATCAAGGTGTTCCAAGAGCTGCTCCCCTGGATACATCAAGGTGATTCAGGAAGAAAAACCAGTTTGCTGCTATGCTGGTCCTCCCTCTCAACTAGGGAAGGTTATTGGGACCATAGAAGAGAAATTCTGAATCATTTTCTTTGAGAAATCGTTTTCTGAAATATGTACAAATGTTATTCAATTCATCACTGTGGGTTTAAAAAGACAGAACTCTAAAAATTATAGACCTATATCATTACTAAATGTGGATTATAAAATTTTTGCCTCTATACTGGCAGAAAGGTTTAAGAAGTTTTTAATAGACTTTATTCACCCAGACCAAAATGGTTTCCTGTCTAAAATTCAAATGAAGAACAATCTGAGGACTATCTTGGATATCCTAGAATACTATGAGACACACACAGAAAAATCAATTGCTCTGTTGTTTTTGGATGCCCAGAAAGCCTTTGATAATGTTAACTGGCAATTCATGAAGCAACAGATGGCTCAAATGGAGTTTGGAGGAAAATTCATGAATGCGATATCAAGTATCTATCAAAGACAATCGGCCAGGATTTTAATTAATGGAGAACTAACAAGGGCTATAGAGATACAAAAAGGTACAAGGCAAGGATGCCCGTTGTCATCCCTATTGTTCATTCTGACTTTTTTGAATAGAATTTTAGGGATGACGAGAACATTAAGGGTACTAAAATTAGAGATGAAAATTATAAATTGCAAGCATTCACAGATGATTTGGTCTTCATAACAGAGGAACCTTTTGTAACAATCCCTAAACTTTTACAATGGAATGAAGAATATAGTGAGGTTATGGGGAGGAAAATAAATAAAGAAAAAATGAAACTTGCAGTTAAAAATCTTATGCAAGATCAGAAAAAAAGACTCCAAGAACAAATGGATTTGCAGATTGTTAAAAAGGTTAAATACTTGGGAATCTATCTTACAGCTAAATGTAGAACTTTGAAAGAAGACAATTATGATAAATTATTGAAGGGTATTAAAGGTGACCTGGAAAAATGGGCCAATTTACAATTGTCTTTGATGGGAAGAATAGCACTTGTTAAAATGAACATACTACCAAAACTTTTGTTTTTGTTCCAAATGATTCCCATAAAAATTGATAAAAAATTTTTTGAGGATTTAAATCTTCAAATTTTGAGATTTATTTGGAGAAAAAAGAAATCAAGGATTAAATTAATATTGCTTCAAGAAACCAAAAAGAATGGGGGTTTTGGTCTTCCTGATTGGATGTTGTATTATCAAGTGTCTATTTTAACTTGGCTAAAAGAATGGATAACTTTGCAAAATAAGGGAATTTTGTACCTTGAAGGTCATGCTTTGCAAATGGGTTGGCATGCTTATATGTGGTACGAGAAGGTTAAGTCTCATGGGACTTTTTAAAGTCACTTTATTAGAAGATCATTAATGTCAGGGTGGGAAAAGTTAAAGTCAAAATTGTATAATAAATTACCAAGATGGCTTTCACCTATGGAAGCTTCTGTGTATCCAAATGTATTGAATTTTGAAGGGATCATAAGATATGATGATATTTTGGACAAAGATGGAGGTCTGAAACTAGAAATACAAGAACAGGGACTAAATATCTCTTGGTGGTATAAGGTGGAGATGCAATCAAGATATGCTAAAAATTGTAAAATATGGGGGTTTTATAAAGACCTAACAGCCTTTGATCAAGTGATGCTAAAAACAGATGAGAAAATGATTAAAAGAATTTATGAGTTCTTACTTGAGAGGAAAATGGAAGGGGAACAGGTCAAGGAAACTATGATAACATGGGCACAAAAGTTTGGATATAATATTAAATTAGAAAAGTGACAAAAGCTATGGGAGAGAAACATTAAGGTAACTTTAGCAACTTCATATAAAGAAAATTTATATAAAATGTTTTATAGATGGTATTTGTCGCCAAGTCGATTAGCTAAGATGTTTCCAAATATGTCAAATGGATGTTGGAAATGTAAACATGATGTGGGCACTTTTTACCATATGTGGTGGACCTGTGAATATGTGAAAAAGTATTAGATTAAAATACATAAATGGCTTGAGTAAATGCTACAAAACCCCTTAGCTTTTAAACCTGAAACTTTCTTGTTAGGCATTATACCGGAAAATATTAGCAAACAAGAAATGTATTTGATGCTACATATAATCACAGCGGCGAGGACTGCGCTTGCTCAATACTGGAAGAGTGAGGAATTACCCACTGAGGAATTGATTTTAAAAAAGATTCTGGACTGTGCCGAAATGGACAGATTGACTCTATTACTGAAGGAGAAAGAAGATACTGACTTCTATCAAACTTGGGACCTTTTTAAAGATTGGCTGGAGAAACGGGACTCGGCTTAGATTTAAAGATGTCTTAACATTTTTATAAATTGATTTGAATTTGATTATAGAATGTTAAAAAGATACGTTATAAGGGGCTGACCCAGTACGTCTGATGTATTTGATGATTGATGTTTTTAGTTTTTAGTTTAAAAATTTTAATAAAAATCTTTATAAAAAAAAGACAGAACTCTAGAGGACAGAAGGATAGAGAGATGGTCGATACTATACAACCCATTTTCCTTTTCTTTGTTAATCCCTGTCCTCAGATGTGGAACATTGTAGCAGATGTCCAGAAGATCAGCATCCAAACAAGAAGCAAGATCAATGTGTTCTCAAAGTTACCAGCTTCCTCTCCTATGCAGAATGTCCTTTGCCCTTTTCCTGCCTGTAACAACAAGCTGTATGTTAGGCGTCTTCATTAAGATCCTGGAAACTCCCATAGTCAAAGCAACAACCGGGGCCTTTCCTACATTCTGCTCATCTCCCTCCTGCTCTCCTTGTCCTCTTTATTGTCTATTGGATAACCAAGACCAGCGACTTGCCTTCTCCAATAGAAAGCCTTCAGCATAATCTTCTAAGTGGCCATCTCTTCCCTCTTGGCAAAATCCATCACTGTGGTGCTGGCCTTCCTGGTCCCACAGCCAGGCAACAGGGTACAGAGATGCCTTGGGAAGAGTTTAGCCAACTCTATTGTCATCATTTGTTCCACTGATCAAGATATGATCTGCACCCTCTGGCTTGGCACCTTTCCACCCTTCCCAGAGTCTGACATGCACTCCCAGGAAGGAAAGATCATCCTGCAGTGCAACGAAGGCTCTGTGGCCATGTTCTACACTGCCCCCAGCTGCATGGGCTTCTTGGCTGCTGTGTGCTTCACAGTGGCCTTCTTTGCCAGGAAGCTGCCTGGGGCTTTCAACGAGGCCAAGCTGATCACCTTCAGCATGCTGGTCTTCTGCAGTGTCTGGGTCTCCTTCGTGCCCACCTACCTGAGGACCAAGGGCAAGTACATGGTGGCCGTGCAGGTCTTCTCCATCTTGGCCTCTGGCGCTGGGCTGCTGGGCTGCATCTTCCTGCCCAAGTGCTACATTATCCTACTGAGGCCTGACCTGAATACCAAGGAGCATCTAACAGTCAAGCAGGAAAACAGCATAGGTTCCCTAAAAAAGACTTTAAAATATTGACTATTCATATCTGCAAACACAGCTATAATGTTTTGAATTTGCAACCTCTCCTCCAGCCTTCCTTTCTGGCTCTTTTGATACCATAAGCTCTCTGCCTTGAAGGCAAAAGAAGAGAGAATGATGAATGGTGTAAATGAGACTTCTCTTCCCCTGGACAGATGCAGTCCTCTGCACCAAGTGTCTTGAAGATCAGCATCCAAACAAGGAACAAGATCAATGTGTGGCCAAGATCATCAGCTTTCTGTTTTATGGAGAACCCTTGGGGATCACACTGGCTTCCAGCGCCCTCTTCTCATCTGTCAACGCAGGTTTTGTGCTGGCAATCTTCACTCACTTCCGGAACACTCCAATTGTGAAAGCCAACAACTGGGATCTCTCCTTCATTCTGCTCATCTTCCTCCTGCTCTCCTTCTTGTCCTCCTTCCTGTTCATTGGTCAGCCAGTGAAAGTGACCTGCCTCCTCCGACAAACAGCCTTCAGCATCATCTTCTCAGTGGCTGTGTCTTCCCTTTTGGCCAAAACAATCACTGTGGTGCTGGCCTTCCTGGCCACCAATCCTGGAAACAGGGTGAGGAGATGGCTGGGAAAGAGTTTGGCCAACTTTATTGTCATCTCCTGTTCCAGTGTCCAAGTAGTCTTCTCCACCGTCTGGCTGGGAACCTCTCCCCCTTTCCCTGACTCTGATAAGTACTCCCAGCATGGGCAGATTGTCCTGAAGTGCAACAAAGACTCTGTGGCCATGTTCTATGCTGCCCTCAGTTACATGGGCATCCTGGCTGCCATCTTATGACCTACAAAGCCCTAAATGGCTTGGGTCCTGGCTACCTAAATGAGCGCTTATGTCCGTATATGCCCGACCGCCCTTTGAGATCTGCGGGAGAGTCCCTTCTCCGGGAACCCTCCATGAAAGAAATTAGGAGAGTAAGTACCCGG